GAAGGAGGTGAGGGAGGAATGGGGCACGAGCCCCCGATGGGGAGGGCTGGGCTGGCTCTGCGGGCTTCTGGAGGTGGAACCTCTCCTGAAGAACCCCCAATTGTCCGCTCTCCCCAGATGGCAGCCTGCAGCAAGTGCAGCCGGTCTGATGGCCGAGTGCTGTGATGTGCCCAGTGTGGGTACTCCGGGCAATCCAAGCCAGGACTGCTTTGCAAGCGGGGCACCCCGAGAACTGTTTGTCCGGGGTGGGGGTTGGGTCCCTTTAAGCACAGCCCTCGGCTAGCCTGAGACAGCAGCTCCACGCTCTAAGTCCTCATCTGATGCCCTGCCGGCACTGCTTCCAGCCATCCTTAACCTCAGTTCAGGGTCCACTTAATGTGGACATGCTAGTTTGAATTAGCAAAATGCTAATTCGAACTAGTTTTTTAGTCTGGATCCGTTAGTTCGAATTAGCTTAGTTCGAATTGGCGCTGTAGTGTAGACATACCCACAGAGACACAATCCTGAAAGTGCAGAGAACTATAGTGATGAACCATCCACAGGTTAAAAAAAAAAGAAAAAAAGAGAAACCCCACCATTGATTTCTTTCAAATAATGAAGTAATTATTCTAGGATTTCATGATTTGCTAATAGTTATTCCATGTGTGGAGAAAAACAAAATTGAATGACTAAATTTTTCATTCCTAGGTGCAAAGTCAGCTATAGTGTACACTAACTGCATGTTGGAGATGTGTAACAGTTTTATCACCATGGGTTTGACTAGACCACAGAACTTTTCTGGGATACGGCGGTATCCAGGAAATGCTCTGCCATGTCCAAGGAACATGTCTGCTTTTCTGAAAAAAATGTCAGTACAGCAGATGCTTTTTTTTGGCATCCCTGTAAACCTCATATAATGAGGAAGAAGGGATAATAGAATCATAGAATCATAGAGCAGAGTGCTGCAGGTTTCAGTTGGCTATATCCTGAAGACAACTAAGTGTTTTCAACATTGGGGAGGCCTAGGAAATATAAAGTATCCCACTGGTAAAAAAAAATTAAATTTGTAGGCTCATCTTACTGACTCAAATTCATTCAGGAATAATAATGAAAAGGCAAAATGTATAGTTTTCAAATACTTTATTTTCCATGATACCAATGACAAAGGTTAAGGTATAATCCTTTTCCATCTGGGCTTTGTAATAGAAACCCTAGCCAATCACTCATTATAGCTGCTCTTTGGATGGGGACTCATTGAAGTATGACCATGCTTCCAGGCACCTCTACCGTAATGAGAAACAAGAATGGATTTTCTGTGAATGAGATTATAAGCATGAAAACTAGATGCTGTATCAAACTGCAAAGTATTGTTTGTCACAAAACTAATCACCTTTTGAAATGTGCAGTTTTGTACAATGTACATGTTTGCAAAAGTAGACGATAGCAACTGGATGCCTGTCAGAACTGGAAAACCAAGCTCCAATATCCATTTCTCATGGCACTTTCTGGAAAAATTTATTATAGTTCAACACTTTCCAGGCTGCAAGGAATTTCCTCTCCCCTTGACCCGTTTCTCCTCTAAGAAGTGCTATCTAACTCCATGTGGTCTCTTCTACTTTGCATGGTCTACTATGGCACTATCCAAGTAAGAAAGGAAGAGCTGGAAAGGAATACACATGGGGTTGTAAAGATTCTATCCTCACGGCAGTTTCAATGACATGGACCCTCAAATCCAATGTGAGTCCGAATCCAAATTTTACCAGAGTTTCTGTGTGTTCAGATTTGATCTGCTTATCTAATAAAACAGAGCTTGATCCAGACGTTAAGTTAAGATCTGAATGTTGAGGTAAACTTCTTCCAGTATTTGAGTTCATCTCACATTCCAACATATTTACCACTATATAATGAAACAAAGAAATATATTTACATTGGAAAACACATTCAAGTTGGAAGATATTTCCCCTCTGCCAGGGATAAGAGCCATTAAATTTCCTCTCAACACAAGAAGACACTTTGAAAATATTTAAGTGTTTAAAGGGGGATTGAGTCTTAAATGCTAAGGTGCAAATCTCTCCTATAAATGTGCATCACCTGTGAGTTCGTTTTTATTGAAATCAATAGAACAATGTCAATTTTCACCAGCTGAGAATCTGATTCTCTGTTCTCTACTGCAAGGTTAATCATTCAGACAGACCATAGCTCGTAATGGTAAGAGAGGCCTTACAGCCCTTCAGAATGTATTGGTTGTTTCTGCTGAATTTTCTCATGATAAAATATAAAACTGGGATTAGAGGGATTCAGCTGCTTAGATTTTGATATTGTGGAGGAACAGTGGGAGATTTGTGAGAGCTTGGTACAACCCACTTGGAAAACCAACATCCTCTTCTTTTTAAAGTTCACAAAGCATCTATAAGGGGGGGGCATTATTAAGATTAAAACAATGAAATGCTATAGTGGTACATTCGCAAAAGTACATCTAAAGCCACATGGAAGTTTTCACTTGGAGGATGTCTTTGAAACTTAAAAAGCCAAGTTCTAGCTTCAGTTATTTCTCTTAAAAATCCTACAGATTTAAATGAATGTGACTTTTAAAAATATTAACATAAAGAACAAATGTTTATTTATACTCCTCGGCTGTGTCTAGACTGGCAAGTTTTTCCACAAAATCAGATGATTTTGCGGAAAAACTTGCCAGCTGTCTACACTGGCCACTTGAATTTCCGGAAGAGCACTGACGATCTCATGTAAGATCGTCAGTGCTTTTCCGGAAATACTATGCTGCTCCCGTTTGGGCAAAAGTCTTTTTCCGAAAGACGTTTGCCCAAAAGGGCCAGTGTAAACAGCACAGTAGTGTTTTCCGCAAAAAAGCCCCGATCGCGAAAATGGCGGAAAACTTTTTTGCGGAAAACCACGTCTAGATTGGCCATGGACGCTTTTCCGCAAAAAGTGCTTTTGCAGAAAAGCATCCTGCCAATCTAGACGTGCTTTTCCGAAAATGCTTTTATCAGAAATTCATGCCAGTGTAGACGTAGCCCTCCAGTTCAATCTGTAAAAACTGTCATGCCAGTGTAGACGTAGCCCTCCAGTCAGTTTTTACAGATTGAACTGATTTTAAGTTATTAAAGCAATGTAGATTGTAACAATCCTACTCAACAGAA